GGCACCGTGGAGTCCGCACCACAGCCACCGGGACTTGCTCCGCAGACGCCCCAGAGCTCGTTCCACACAGCTCGGGGCGCGTTCCATGCAGGCCATGAACCGGGCTCCCGAGAGGCCCCAAGAGCCAAGAGGGGGCCACGGGGTGCGTTCTGCGCAGGCGTGGGGCACTGCTTGGGCTGCCCGTCCTGCACAGACCTGATCCTCTTCCGCTTCCTCCTCCCTCCGACCTAGTCTTCCGCTGCTGCTCCCGATGCAGAGGAAACGGAGGAGCAGGGGGAGGGAGGCAGGAGGAGAGGGACTGGGAGATGAGCAGGTATGCGCAATGCAACGCAGTGATGTGCGATGGAGATACATGTAGCGTATTACAGCATCACAGCGCATGGCACAAACCCATGCCATTACGTCATTGCCCCGCATGCCGCCGCATATCGCAGCGCATCGTAGCATAGCTCAGCACGGCATAGCATTGCGCATCATGTTGCAGCACGACGTGGCATTGCGCATCATGGAGTAGCGCAGCATTGGGTACTCTTGCAAGGCTTCCCCTGCTCCTTCTCCTTTCCGCTCTCCCTGCCCCATCCCTCTCCACCTGCGTCCCCCTCCCCTTTCTCTGCCACCTTCCGTTGTCACCTCCTCGCTTTCGGCGCGGTGCCCCCCCCCCCTCCCGTCCCCCCCCCCCCCGCGCCCGCGCCCGCCCCCCCAGGGAGCGAAGCTGCTCGTGAACCGGCGGGCCGGATCGGCTGGGCAGGCAGCCCTGCGACAAAGGGCAGGCAGGGCGAGGGAGAGGCGAGGGGTCGGCAGCCTTGGCTGCTCGAGGCACTTCCTGGGCACCCCCCTGGTAAAACGACGCGAAGATCGGGACAAAATCGGATCGGGATAACTCGAAATCTCTGAGAATCGGCGGGTTTGGAGGATGTATTGGGCGCCGCGGCCGCTCCAGAGCGTTCCGGAACGCTCTGAGAGCACTCCGGAACGCTCTGGATCGATTTATCCCGATCCTAGCCCTGTTTTACCTGGGGTGAGGGCTCAGGTCTTCCCCAGCGCAAGCCCCGAGATCAGGCCCTGGCGTCACAATTTTTGTCGATCCGGGCGTCTTCGCCCAGCTCCGGGCCCCGGGACCGTCACAGATCACCCGGTTCGAAAAATTTGTTCCACAAGATGGGATTTGGGGCTCGGGACGTGATTGCTCAAGATGTCGCATTTGCGTCGCAACGTCGGATCTCACGCAAGAACACGGCGGTGCGACGTCGACGAAGAGCAATGGGGGGAGGAGGGCGTCGCGGATGGCGCGAAGGGGCCTCTGCTGATGAGCTCGCGAGTCGCTCGATCGACGCCGCTGGTACAACCGTGGCGTCATTCACGCTGCCTCGGCGCTGGAGGCGTTGGAGCAGCGGCCGTATGGCTGATCTGCTCGGACGTCGTTGCGCGTCTCCCCGTTCAAGCAGAACATTACGATCGACGAGTGTGTCGGGGACACGGGCCTCGAAGTTGAAGCTTTGCGCGAGATGTTTGCCCACCTCGTAGGGCGCGAGGGCAAACGACGTGGATGCACACCTCAAGTAGCAGACCGAGCAACATGCATGGAACGATTTCGGCATCCCCCCTGGCCGCTGCCGACTTGACAGACAGTCCTGGACGAGGACCCAGCGATCGTCCGATGAGCAAATCTAGAACGCGCCTGTCGGGGTGACGGCTGGAGGGGAGCACGTGAAGATGGAGTCGTCCCTCCCCCTCCTTCAATAGCACCCTCCTCCGCCTCGTCGTCCTCCTCCGCCTTCTTCTCCTCTCTCCGCCACCTCCAAAATTATGACATGTGTTCTGGACGGCTCACAAAGTTTGAACCCCCTCCCGGGCAGTATGTTTCTCTCCATTGCGTATCAATGCAACGCGTGAAACCACGGCCCCTCCTGTTCCTGCGTTCGTGCTACACCCTCCCGATCTCCACAGCCCCTCATCATTTATTCATCCTCCCTCCCTTGTGATCCGCATCGTGTTGCTAATCTTGTTTCTGCTCCTTGTAACCCTTCCCTTCCGATTTCTGCTCAGGATCCTCCCGCCCTTTCCTTATCCATAACCTCCGGCTCCTTTCTGCACAAAGTGTTGATCCTCCCCCTCGCGCTTGCCTACTTATTTCTTTACCGTCCCTCTTGTCTGTCAGGTAGTTGTTGGACATGCCAAGGAGTTGGAAGTTCAATCGCAGATGCGGGCGGAAGGCAAATAATGTATTCCGTGATATGTTTTCATCATCGGTTTCGAGACCTGGTGATCATAGCACCCAGCACCCAACAGACAAATCACATGGTCTATTTGGGAGGACTTCCGAGAAGTGATGGCACCGGCGCCCCCGAACTCGACAGTCATGTGACCATGGCCAGCAGGGCTTAAGTCATCGCGTGAAATATGGGACTCGTCCAAGGAGAACGATGAGCATTCTCGCCACAGGCGTGCTGTCAAAGCAGTTGTGTTGCTTCCATGCCGCCTGGAGAGACCAGGCAGAAATAAACAAACCAGACGCGTTCCAATCGCGACTCCTGCAGAACAACACGTGCACTTCGCACGCGTAGACACATCAGTTGCGTCAGCAACGCCGCCGCGCAGCACGCCTGCCAAGCGTTAACCGTGTTGGCTGGCTCACCAGCAGCTGCTCCTCATGGGTGGGCATGCCCTTGGATTCCGCGCAGCGGCGCAGTCGAAAGCAGAGGGAGGGCGTCAGCATCAGACCTCAGCGCGCGCCCACCTCGCGTCGCAACCCCGCGCGGACGACCAGGTGGATGTTTCGAGTGGCATGGGGAGGTGTGCCGCCTAGAGCGTTGGGTGGTGGGGGAGCTGGATGGGAGAGGGATGCGGAGGGTGGAAGGATGCGTGTGGAAAGATTTGGCGTTCCCGGGCGCCTTGTCCTCGTCACCACATTTCCAACGTTGCCCTCCACCCCGATGCACAAGTCCGCCACAGGGCTCAGCACGGTGCAGTCCCGATGGCACCGCCGACGAAGGTTTGTTTTTGCTCAGGCGGCAATCACGGAAGTATACACAGTGCCTCTAAGCTTCTAAGGCCATGTGTTGGTTTGCGGCACCGTTGGTTTTTTACTAGGGTTTCCCTCCCCCTTTCCCTCCTTCCCCTCTTCGCTCTATCATTCCATGTATTTTCTCGTCCTTCAAGTGGTCCGCCTCCAAAGTCTTTTCGTTCAGAGGAGAGACATGTTAATACACGTATATCGTGTCTCAGTTGGGCATCAACCAATGGTCGAACATACCTGGGGCCCGGACATCGATTCGCATATGTTTCGACGGTTGGTCAGCAACAAGCAAAGCTTAGGGTGGTGCATCCGCGGACGTATACTGCAGCCCTTGACCCCGTCTCAGCCTCATGCACACCCAGTTTTCTTCGTACTCCCAATGCCACGCCAGTGTCATCCCTTGCACCCCGTGGTCATTACAATACTTTACATTTTAACTCGATGTTCATTCCCTCACCGTACCATTACTCCAATATCGCTTCTGCTTCGCTCCACCCCCACACATTGCAAACGCAACGTTCATGTCGCGAATACGTGCCGTAATCCTTTTTTCCTTTACCGTTGGCTACTTCTCCTCTTCCTCCTCCACTGCATTTCCACTCCATCTCCGCTCCATTTGAAATAAATTCCCATCTCATCATCATCTATGTGTATCAACCTTCTTACGCAAGTTTCACTCCAATCTCACCCAATCTCCATGCCATGGGCATTACATTATCAGGCCATGTTCGTTCTATCCTCGCCAACGTTGCCCCATTCCCACACCGTTATTATTCAGTAGTGTGTGTGTGTGTTTAAGCTTCTTTCTGTATCACGTTCTCAATCTCACAGCAAAATTGGAAAACATGGCAATCAAGATCTGCATTGCTGAACTTAGGGTGTAGTATTGTTGGTATGTCATCGGTACTCCTGATACGATGGCAAGATCTTGCTGCATCCGTGTCCAGCACCTACCAGTCATACATAATCGGTTCCATCTTGCACCGATGACTTGCAATGGATCTCGTTTCAGCGCCGCACACACTCGATTTATCGGAGGTGAAGGGGTGAGATCGAAGTGGAACGGAGAGCCCACCTACCGGGAAATCGGTTTCGGTTTCGTGTTCGTGCGTGCCGTGCGTGCGGGCGAGGCGAAGCAGCGTGGGCGGGCGAGAAGAAAGTCTCCTCCGGCTGAGGCGCGGCCGGACCAAAGAATTCCTCTCCGGGGGCCGGTGCCGCGCGGTGTCCCGCCGGTGTCCCGCCTCCGGCTGAGGCGCGACCGGACCAAATGTTTCCTTTCTGGGGGCCGGTGCCGCGCGGTGTCCCGCCGGTGTCCTGCCAGTGTCCCGTCGGTGTCCCGATGATGATGATGATGATGATGATGATGATGATGATGATGATGATGATGATGATGATGATGATGCTGATGATGATGATGATGATGATGCTGATGATGTCGATGATGTTGATGATGATGATGATGGTGATGGTGGTGATGGTGGTGATGATGGTGTCCCGATGATGATGATGATGATGACAATGTTGATGATGATGATGATGGCGATGATGATGGCCATGGTGGTGATAATGATGGTGTCCCGATGGTGATGATGATGCTGATGTTGCTGATGATGATGATGGTGTCCCGATAATGATGATGTTGATGAGCATGATAATGCTGATGATGATCTGATGAGGTGAAGATGATGGTAATGATGATGGTGTCCCGATGATGATGGTGATAATGATGTTGATAATGTTGTTGATGATGATTGTGATGATGATGATGGTGTCCCGATGATGATGATGACGATGATGGTGTCCAGATGATGGATGTTGATGATGATGAGGATGATGATGAGGTGATGATGGCGATTTTGGTGATGGTGGCCCGATGCTGGTGATGATGATGATGATGATGATGTCGATGTTGATGTTGATGATGGTGTCCCGATGATGATGATGCTGATGGTGATGATGATGATGATGATGGTGACGATGATAGTGGTGCCCCGATGATGATGATGATGATGATGATGATGATGGTGTTGCTGCTGATGATGATGGTGTCCAGATGATGATGATGTTGATGATGTTGTTCATGATGATGATGAGATGATGATGCTGGTGATGATGGTGGTGTTCCGATGCCGATGGTGATGGTGTTGATGCCGATGCTGATGATGGTGACGATGATGGTGTCCCGATGATGATGGTGATGATGACGATGATGATGATGATGATGGTGATGGTGATGATGATGATGATGATGATGATGATGTCGATGATGATGGTGATGAGCTGGTGGTGATGATGGTGTCCCGATGATGGTGATGTTGATGATGCTGATGACGTTGATGACGATGATGTTGATGATGATGATGACGTTGGTTGTGAGATCGATTGTGATATCGATAGTGAGATCGATAGTCAGACCGAATGTGAGATCGATAGTGAGATCGATAGTGGGATCGATTGTGAGATCGATAGTCAGATCGATTGTGAGATCGATCGAATGAAATAGATCAAATGAGATCGATTGTGAGATCGATCGAGTGAGATCGATCGAGCGAGACCGATAGTGAGATCGACAGTGAGATCGATAGTGAGACCGATCGAGTGAGACATGGGTTCCTCCCCCCCCGAACCTCCTTATCACCCGAAGGGTGGTCGTATAGGTAAACGTTGCCAACGCCGACTGGAACGGACGGCGGGATTTCCCGAGGCATCAGCGCTCTCCGATGGCGTCTCTCCGAATTGTATGGCTTTCCTGCTGGGGCTCTCCAACAGATATCAAGACGCATGTCGGCGCCTCTCCAAGCCTCTAATTCCGCATTCGGCATGTCCGAATGTTGCGAACTGTTTGGGGGGGGGCAGTTCGGATGAAGGGTGGTACCAGCTGAAGCCTTCTTCGCATTGGGCGTATTTACAAAACATGGCCTTCGGGCTAGAGAGTTCCAACTGGCAATAATGTAGATTCGAGGATCGCACCGGACCGTTTTCAGAGTCGAAGTCGAGCTCTCGCCGTTGGCGGTTCAGTTTCAAGGCTGTGTTTTCGATTCGGTGACGTGTAGGCAGTCCGTGAGGTTTCCACCAGTTGCAGTGGGCAGACGGACGCCGACCCCATGCCAAACCGATCGTGAGTCTTAACGGTGCGCGACGGGCCAGCAGACTGGGTCCACAGGCAGGGCCCCAAGTTCGCTCGGTACCTCGAGCCTCGTCCGAGTTCTCCCGTTCTCGGCGCTCCCGAGGAGGAGACGCCTTGCGCCAGATGGCGCCCCACGAAAACGAGTGAGCGACCAGCGGAGGCATACCGTAGCGAGGTGGTGTATACACTTCTACGTACAGACACAGACATATAAACATGCACGTGTACACACACACGCGCCTACACATGTACGCATACATATCTATATATATATATATATATATATATATATATACATATATATATATGTGCATATCGGCATAGGCAGATACATACACGCATGTAGGTATATGGATATGCATTGGCTTCAGAGGATGGCATTGCATCTCTCGTTCAGTGGTGCACGCGGGTATTACGTGCTATGGGCATCCTGTGTTGATCGCCATCGTTTGGCTCTCCGTCTCTCTCCCTCCACTTGTCCATCGGCGTTCCTCCCCAGACTCCTCCTGGTCCTCCTCCTCCTCATCCTCCTCCTCCTCCTCCTCCTCATCGCGTCCCTTTCTGCCAGCCAGCCTGCAGCCCGCCTCCCTCCCCGTACCCCGAACCCTCCCTGCCTCCCTCATCCCTCCCTCCCCTCGCCCGCCTCCCTCCCCGCCTCCCCCCATCCCCCCCCCCGGCTCGCGGGCCCCGGGGCCCCCTGCCAGGCCTCGGGTCTCGGCGGCGGCGGCGCGACCACCGGCTCAGACGGCGAGAAGGACTGTGGGGCGCTGGCTTCAGGGCGTGGCTGAAGCAGAGAGGGGGGGGGGGCTTCGCCAAGGGGCTTCGCCACGACTGCGATTTCCTTGTGTTTCGTGTTCGATTTCCTTCTATTTCGGGCGACGACGATGGCGGCGGCGACGGCGACGGCGGCGCTTGAGAGGAAAAAGAAAAAAAAAAGGGGGGGGCTTCCCAGTGGTCGGAACTCGGCCTCCGTGCTCGAGCTTCAGGCTGTAGGCGCTGGGTGCCGACACCACCGGCGTGGATGCTTTAGAACGCTTGTGGGAGCATCTTTGTCTGGCTACTCCTAGCGCTTCTGCTTTCTGTCGGTTCACGCAGTTGGGGGCCCATGTAGCGTGCATACAGCCGAAAGCATATTGCGAAATGTGATTGCAACGCCTCGCAGCTAGGTCTCGCGTCTGCGAAGCATGCTTCCCTGATGCGTGTTTTGACGGCCATCACGGAAAACGGCGGCGGACACGAAACCTCCCTTTGTCCGCTGGCCCAGCCGGCAAAGGAGGCGGAGGACGAGGAGGAGGAGGCGCGCGACGGCGTGGAGCTGCCGCCCATAGAGGAGAAGCCGGTCTCGCCGGAGGTCCAGGCTCTTGGCAGCCGCCCGGGGGGCCTCGGCAATCGGAGGGCGCCTCTCGGGGACAGCACGGCGGCGTTCCGCGTGTCGGGTCCCTCACGGGAGATGTCTTGGCCAGGGAATGACAAAGGCAGGAATTCGTATTGCGACAAGGGATATCCCGGAGGCCTCGCGCGGCGCGCAATAGTTGTGAGAGTGAGGGGGCCGAACGGTCATTCACTGTCCCTGGGTGCGTGGCTGAAGTGGGATTCCGCGGTGCGGATTCTCGTTGTTGTTGTTGTTGTTGTTGCTGCTGTTGTTGTTGTTGTTGCTGTTGTTGCTGTTGTTGTTGTTGTTGTTGGTGGTGTTGGTGTTGTTGTTGTTGTTGGTGGTGTTGTTGTTTGTTGTTGTTTGTTGTTGTTGTTGTTGTTGCTGCTGCTGTTGTTGTTGCTGTTGGTGTTGTTGTTGTTCGTGGTGTTGTTGTTGTTGTTGTTGTTGTTGTTGTTGTTGTTGTGATTGTTGTTGTTGTTGTTGAACTCTCATTCTTGAAGAATAATTATTGTTGATCCCCCCCACCGGTGCACATTGATTTTTTTCGATTGAAGTGCCACCCCCGGGGCTCGCACCTTGTTTTTTCTCAAGGAAAGTCTTCCTGCTCAAACTGTGCCCCTGCCCCCCGGGCTACAACAACAACGGCTCCCGCCTGAGACTTCCTCGATTTTTACTCAGGACCCCCGCTCCCGCCTGAGACTTCCGCGCAATTTACTCAGGAAAGGCGCTCCCGTCTGAGACTTCCTCGCAATGTAATCAAGACCCCCGCTCCCGCCTGAGACTTCCGTGCAATTTACGTGGGAACGGCGCTCCCGCCTGAGACTTCTTCGAATTTTACTCAGGACCCCCGCTCCTGCCTGACATTTCCGCGCAATTGGCTCAGGAACGGCGCTCCCGCCTGAGACTTCCTTGCAATTTAGTGAGGATCCCCGCTCCCGCCTGAGACTTCCGTCAATTTGCGCAGGAACGGCGCTCCCGCTTGAGACTTCCTCGCAACTTAGTCAGGGCCCCCGCTTCCGCCCGAGATTTCCTCACAATGTGCTCAGGACTGCGCTCTCGCGTGCGACGTCCTCACAAATTATTCTGGAATTGCGTTTCGGCGCTCAGGAACCACGCACGCGCCAAGGACGCCTTCACAACGTGGTATCTTCCCTCTTCCTTCGTCCTTCCCCCTCCCCTTCCTCCCACTCTCCCTCGTTCTTCCCCTCCTCCTCTTGCAGGGCCCGCGCCAATTCCAATGGCGGGCAGAGAGATGTACGCCCCCGAAGGATTGTCCGCCCGTTCCGGTTTGCCCGTACGTCTAAGCCCGCCGGCCCCAGCAAAGAGAAATAATCCCCCCGAAAGGGGTGTGATCGAAGACGAAGAGGGCGGGCATCGAGGGTGTAGGGTATACGTGTTGAATGACTCGCGGGCAAGTAAGAGCGTACAGCCTTAAAATGGTTGTTGCTGTTGTTGTTGTTGTGGTTGTGGTTGTGGTTGTCGTTGTTGTTGTTGTTGTTGTTGCTGTTGTTGTTGTTGTTGTTGTTGTTGTTGTTGGTGTTGTTGTTGTGGTTGTTGTCGTTTGTTGTGTGTTGGTTGTTGTTTGTTGTTTGTTGTTTGTGGTTTGTTGTTTGTTGTTTGTTGTTTGTTGTCGTCGTCCCACCCGCAACCCGCCCCGCGACCCACCCGCGACCCACCCCGCGACCCACCCTGCGACCCACCTGCGACCCACCCGCGACCCACCCGCGACCCACCCCGCGACCCACCCCGCGACCCACCCCGCGACCCACCCGCGACCCACCCGCGACCCACCCGCGACCCACCCCGCGACCCACCCCACGACCCACCCCGCGACCCACCCGCCCACCCGCGACCCACCCGCGACCCACCCCGCGACCCGCCCGCGGCCCACCCCGCGACCCACCCGCGACCCACCCGCGACCCACCCGCGACCCGCGACCCACCCGCGACCCACCCGCGACCCACCTTCGACCCAAACCACGTTGGTTTTTTTGCATTTGCATTCCTTCCAGGTGGAGAGCCCGCGACCCACCCCGCGACCAACTCGCGACCAACCCGCGACCCAAACCACGTTCAAGGTACAAACCACATTTTTCGGCGCCTGCGGCGGGCATCTTTTGCATTCGTTTCAGGTGGAGAGCCCGCGGCCCACCCGCGACCACGTTCAGGGTACAAACCAAATTTTTCGGCGCCTGCGGCGGGCATCTTTTGCATTCGTTCCCGGTGGAGAACCCGCGGCCCACCCGCGACCCAATTCCACGTTCAGTGTACAAACCAATTTTTTCGGCGCCTGCGGCGGGCTGCTTTTGCATTCCTTCCAGGTGGAGGTGGAGAGCCCGCGACCCACCCGCGACCCAAACCACGTTCACTGAACAAACCAATGCCGCACAAGCGCGGCGGCGGATTTTTGCATGCCGTCTGAGCCCGCAACGACCTCTTCAAGCCCCGCGCATCCACACCAGCCCGTCCAGCAACTTTGCCCTGGCGAGTTGCCTTGATCAGAGAAGTCGGGGAGCATAAAGTGGAAAAAAGGATTGCGTTGCCGTTATCTTGGGAAAGGAGGGGGAGGCAGGAGGAGTAAACAGGGGACGAGGAGGACGCGAAGAAGAGAGGATGTAAGGAGAATGTGGAGGAAGAGGAGGAGCAGGAGGACGAGGAGGGGGAGGAGGGGGAGGAGGGGATGAGGACGAGGAGGGGGAGGAGGGGAGGAGGGGGAGGAGGATGATGATGGACGACAATGGGAGGACGATGATGGAGGCCGATGAGGGGGTGGACGACAATGGGAGGACGATGATGGAAGGACGAGGGGGGGGGGAGGGAGGACGAGGAAGAAGAGGAGGAGGAGGAGGAGGAGGACGAGGTGGAGGAGGAGGACAACGATGACGATGACGACGAGGACGAGGACGACGAAGAGGAGGAGGAGGAGGAGGAGGAGGAGGAGAGCGCCATCGACAGGGAAGGTAGGGGCCACTAGGTCCGCCGGCTCGACGACGCCCGCGTCGCCCGCGCCCGCCCCCTCACTCTTATCCGCAATTGCGGGGTGCTACGTATTATCCGTAAGGGCTTCGTCCCCTGCCGCCGGCCCCCTCTCTATCAGAATGGGATAAAACAGAGTCGCGTCGGTGCGTCTCGGCGCTGCCTTGGCTCATCTGGGAACAGCATGCGGGGGCGGATAGGAGTCATCAGCGCATATTGAAACATTGGCGTTTCGAAGACGCCTACGGCGAATCACCGCCGTCCCCTGCCTTTTTGAAAGCGCCTGCGTGGCCGAAAGTTGGGTTTGAGCTTGGCCAAGCTATCGGGCCACGCGTTCCCCGAGTGGGTTTCGAAAGCCTTCGGGGAACACGGAGTCAGGCGAGCTATCGGACCAGGTGGTTTCCGAGCTTTCGGGCCTCCTGGAGGACGTCTTGGAGGGCTCTTGGGCCGTCTTGGAGGCCTCTGGCGGGCCTTTTGGGCAGTCCAAGGCCACCTTCAGGCCATCTGGGGCCGTCTTGGGTACACCTTGGGGCCATCTTCGCCGTCTTGGAGACCTTCTTGGCCGTCTTGGAGGCATCTTGGCGGCCATCTTGGCCGTCTTGGAGGCCATCTTGGGCGTCTTGGGGGCCTCTTGGGGCCTTCTTGGGGCCTGTCATGGGGCCATCTTGATGGCCTCTTGGGCGCTCTTGGGGCGATGTTTGGGGCCTCCTGGACCGTCTTGGGCCGTCGGAGAGCTGAAAAGACGAGAATGCCAAAATCCTTCAAAAACCAAAGGATAATCATTAATTTGGGCTGCTTCGGGCCTTCCTGGAGGATGTCTTGGAGGCATCTTGGGCTGCCTTCGGCTCTCTTTCTGTCGTCTTGGATGCCATCTTGGTCGTCTTGGAGTTCATCTTTGCAGTCTTGAGGTATCTTGGAGACCACCTTCGCCGTTTTCGAGACCTCTTGGGCCGTCTTGGGGCCCTCTTTGGGCTGGCTTGAAGGCCTCTGGGGCCGTTCTGGAGCCATCTGGGAGGCCTCCGGGACTCGTTCGGGGACTCCCTGGGCCGTCTCAGGCGGTCGGAACACCACAACCGAGGAAACACACACACACATCCTTCAAAAGCCTAAGGAACATTTAAGATGTTGGCTCCCTCGGGCCTTCCTGGAGCACCTCTTGGACCCCTCTGGGGCGATCTTGGAACCTCTCGGGCCCACCTTGGGCCACCTTGGCCGTCTTAGCGGCCATCTTGGCCGTCTCGAAGTTCACCTTGACCGTGTTGGAAGCATCTTGGAGGCCATCTTGGCCGTCTTGGAGACCGTCTTGGGCGTCCTGGAGGCCTCTGGAGCCGTCTTGGCGCCCTCTTGGGGCCGTCTTGGGGGCCTCTTGGGCCGTCGTGGGGCCATCTTGGAGGCCTCTTGGGCGCCCTTAGGGGCGACCTTTCGGGCTCCTTGGGCCTGGGCCGTCGAGAGCCGGCGGAAGGCTCGAAAAGGGCAAACGCCCAAATCCTTCAACAACCTAAGGAGCACACTGATCTTGACCTCTTCGGGCTCTCGTGGAGGACCTCTTGGAGGACTCTTGGGCCGTCTTGGAGGCCTCTTGGAGGCCTCTGGGGCCGTCTTGGGCCGTCTGAGAGGTTTCTTGTGCGAACTTGGAGGCATCTTGGACTCTCCTGGGCCGTCTTGGAGGCCATCTTGGACCATCTTGGGCGAACCTGGAGGCCATCATGGGCCATCTCGGCCATCTTGGAAGCCATCTTGGAGCCATCTGGAGCAGGACAAATTTTTGGAACCACCCTTTCCGGGCCATTTCGGGGCCCCGGCGAGTGGGGCCGAAACCCCAGGGGGAGTTCTCTTGGAAATATATCCAAATCCAAGACCGAGAGGATTCAGCACACCGGGCACCCTTGTGATGAATCAACAGGGGGCGGCGGATCGAAGACGCCTACGGCGAATCACCGCCGCCCCCTGCCTTTTTGAAAGCGCCTGCGTGGCCGAAAGTTGGATTTGAGCTTGGCCAAGCTATC